TTCAGTCCTGGATTGGAATGCATCAATCCCTAACAACCTTTCAATTAGATGCCAATGGAATTAGCATGTCACATAATATTTGCATGTCAAATACCATTTAACAAGGAAGGGGACACTGCCTGGCTCCTCGCTTCTTATACAGGGGACACAGTGATGATTGTGTGAGAAAAACTCATTCATGTTACATTGAAAGTGACAAATTAGATTTTCAAACGCCACATGTTATGTAGTTGCCAAAATGCATGCATTAAGCTCCCCAATAACCATAACTAATTAATAAATCAATCAAGTTCTGCTCCTGGGCAAAGGATATGCAGAAACCTCACCCCAGAAACCTCACCCCAGGGCATTTCCAAAGCAGCTTCTTCTTTCTTATGCTACCCCAAGGCTGTTATATAACGTAACATGCTCTAAGAATACAAGCCCTCCCCAACAGAGAACAGAACATCATCACGCCAAGTCTCACAGCAAGAGGCATGGTGCAAGCACACGCCTCTATGGATGAGAGATTTATGGGCTAACAGCTGAATCACAAGTCAATTGCTCTGGTAAGGAAGAAGAGGGGGTGTGGGTTGTGAAGGGAAAGATTCCTTCAGGGAGCAAAAGTTTGCCCTTGTTTTCCCTGAGCAGAATCGCAGAACCCCTGCAGTGAGTTTATTAGAATGGTAAATAATACTGGAATACTTTGGTATCAAGACAAAGGTGGCAGTTTCTGTTCTGTTCAGTAGGTTTCTTACTCAGGCATATTTTACATTAAGACAAAGCGTCCTAACCTATTTATGCTTCGATAGGCCAGAACTTGTTTCATTAAGTATATCTGATGAAGCAGACTCTGTTCCATAAAAGCTTACACTGCAATGAATAACACAGATGATTAAGGTACAGATGAAGGGGTTGGAGTATCAGGGGAAAACGAAGGCCTGAGATTAGTGTATTAATAAAGGGGAAAGAATTCTTATGATTCATCATGTATTCGAGACTGCTTTGTTCAGATGGTTTTATATTACCAATATAAATAGATGCAGGAGTGTATATTCCACCCATTACACAAAACTCTCCATCGTCAGGGAGCATTTACTGCCTGATGAAAGTGTCTGAGGGATTTTTTAAAAAAAAAAACTAGATTTTTCTCTTAACCTATCTTCTGCAACAATTGGTATCTCCATGCTCATGCTTTATTTCAGTTTGCAGGGTCGGAACTGTCTTCTGTTTTGTGCATATGTGGGTATGTGCGCAAAGCCACAATGGGACTAATATTTCCTTTTTCTGCCTACTTGATGGCAAAGCCACATGTGCCCAGAACTTAATCTTTTATTTATTTCCTGTAGCAACAGTCTTAGTGACTATTCTCTTTGTTGCTTTAATGAAGAAGCAGCTCCGAAAGGCTGAGAGAAAAATCATATGCACATAGCCCATTCTGAGTCTTTTAGTCCATACAGCACATTGAGA